ACCTCCAGAACCAGTACCAATACCCCAAGAATCTGAAACCCTCCCCTGACACCATCTTTTCAGCCATATATTCATCCGATATATCGTCATTTCTGCTCTGACTAGCATGTGACACAGGTAATAATCCTGAGATCACTACCTTTGAGGCCCGATTCCTTAACTTTCTTCGACCACCGGCTGTTCACTCTCTCCCTCCAGAATGTCCTGTACCCACTCCAATACATCCTTGACCCTAGCATCAGGGAGGCAATATACCATCCTGGAGTCTTGTTTGCGGCCACAGAAATGCCTGTCTATTCCCCTTACAATTGAGTCCCCTATAACTATTGCCCTGGCATACTTTTTAACCCCTCCCCTCTGCAGCAGAACCAACCATGCTGCAACGAGTTTGGCTGCTGCTGCTTTCCCCCGAGAGGTCATTTCCCTCAACAGTATCCAAAATGGTATATCTGTTTTGTAGGGAAATGACCTCAGGAGATTCCTGCACTACCTGCCTATCTCTCTTGCTCTGTCTGGTGGTCACCCATTCACTTCCTGCCTCTGGAGTCTGAACCTGCGATGTGACCACCTCTCTATACGTGCTATCCACGATACTCTCAGCCTCGCGGGTGCTCCACAGCGTCCCCAGCCGCTTCAAGCTTCCAGGAGCTGTAACTGGAGACAATTCCTGTACACATGCTGACCTGAGGGGCTGGAACTGTCCCCAGCCTGCCACATGGAACAAGAGGATCAAATCTGAACTTTGAGCTCACCTGCCATGGTTTACTTGTTTAAATTATACCTTGGAGAGTACTTTATATTAGATTAAATCAAAGCCAAGCAATTAATAGTCAACCACATTACTGTGGACATGTTTTTGAGAAATCATGTTTGGAATTCTAAGGAAGTAATACGTGCTGAGGGCATTTGACAAGGTGCCACATTGAAAATTATTGCAAAAATTTTAAAAATCATAGCATACAGAATCGTATACTAACATGGATAGAAGATTGGCTGGCTAACAGGAAGCAGAACGTAAGCATAAATGGGTGTTTTTCAAACTGGCAAGATATAAAAGGCTGGCATGCCACAAGGTTCGGAGTTGGGACTTCAACTGTTTACAACTTATACAAAAGACCTGGATGAAGTTATGGACTAAAATTGCTGACGACACAAGGATAGGTAGGAAGGTACGTTATTAAGAGGACATAAAGATGATGCACAATAAGTATAGATAGGTTAAGTAAGTGGGAAAAGATGTAGCCAATGGGAGTGTAAACGTGGAAAAACATGACACTGCCCATTTCAACAGGAAGAATTAAAAAATATATTATCTAAATGGTGAGAGATTGCAGAGTTCAGAGATGCACAGACCCGGATGTACTAACATATGAATTATAAAAGGTTAGTACACAGGTACAGCAAGTAAGTAGGAAGGCTAACAGAATGTTATCATTTATTGCGAGGGGAAGTGAATACAAAAGTAGAGAGGTTATGCTTCAATTATAAAGGGCACTGGTGAGATCACAACTGAAGTACTGAGCACAGTATTGGTCATTTTATTTAAGGAAGGATGTAAATGCATTAGGAGGTAATTCAAAGAAGGTTTACAAGATTAATGCCTGGAATAAGAAGGTTGTCTTATGACGAAAGGTTAGATGAACTAGGCTTGCACACATTAGAGCTTAGAAGAGTAAGAGCTAACTTGGTTGCAAGATCCTGAAGGTCTTAACAGGGTAGATATATACAGGATGTTTCTTCTTATGCGAAAACCTAGAATGAAGGTCAGCCACTTAAAGAAGACGAGGCAATTATTTTCTCTCAGAGGGTTGTGCATCTTTGGAACTCCATTTATAAAAAGGTGAAGGAAGCGGAGTCTTTGAATTTTTTTTGGACAGAGGTATATATATCCTTGCTTAGAAAGGGGTCAAAAGGTTGTTGGGGAAGGCTACAATGTAAACATGAGGTTACAATCAAATCAACTAAAATTTTATTAAATAACAGACCAGGCCCTTGGGACTAAATGGCCTACTTCTGCTTCTAATTTATATATTTTTTGTTAGCAAGTGCATGTACTGTGTGCAATGGAAAAAGGATAGGATTTCATGTGGCTACTGTAGTGTCGGTAACGAGGTCAGGTTCTGGTCACTCAGAGATGGCTCGGAGGAAGCTGGACCTGTGTCAAGTACTCTGCACATGTAAATAAAGGGTGACTTGGTGACGGGATACCAGCCTCTGTGGAGTTATTTCAGCAGCGAGAGGGGGATTAATGACGTAACCAGACGAAAGCGCATACTAGCTGAAACCTAACTGGACTTCAAACAGGTAGTACAACTGGCTTTATCATTCGAAAATGTAGCAAGTGGAGCATATGAGTTACAGGGTATGCTGACGGAAGTGTAGTCGCCAGGCTGACTGAGGTTGGGGGACACCGCTTGAGTGAAGGCAATTGCATTGCCTCACTCAGGACAAATCCCGAACAGAGGGACTCTAGGTCAACCCACAGCAAAACCCCAAAACAAAGGCAAGCGTCAGCCAAATGGTTAACATTTTCTTCAGGATCTGGTCTGGCCAGCCATTGTAGTTGCTGCCGGCATGCAGACTCGAGACAGCAAAAGAGGCCCATTAGGCCTGAATTGAGTAAGAGAACTCATAGGCCGCTGTCCAGGAGAGTGCACACCCTGAAAAGCTGACCCACATGTGGCTTGAAGGAGTTAAATTGCTTAGCAACATCCAAATCATTGAAACCGGCATGGCTATATGAGTAGTACCAGTCCTTAACAAAATTCGCTCTGGACTCGAACCCTTAAGTTTGTGTAAGACCTCAGCTAGACAGAGAACCTATACTGGGGGACCTTTGCAGATTAAGGGTACAAATTCAGTTCTGGTCTCGTATGTGCAGCAGCTGGGTCAGTCACCAGTGATTATAGTAAAAGGCTTGGGCCTAAGCCTGATGGGGCAAAATTGGTCGAGAAAGATTCATCTTGATGGGCTCAACATTTTTGGATGGCTGCCTGAGTGAAGTCCTAATTAAATACCTGGAGGTTTTCCAGGAAGGTCTAGGGACTATCAAAGGAAGCAAGGCCACCTTGCATGTTAACCAGGAAGCAGTTCCATGATTCTGGAGGCCCACCGAGTGCAATTTGCCTTACGTGCAAAAGTAAAGACAGAAATAAGGAGGCACGGTCAACACAAGGTCAGGTCCCATGACATACAAAGTTTGGGGAGGTGAGGCAATCCTGAACAAGCACGTGGACTACATGAAAGCTGTAAACCCAGGAACACGGCTGAAGCAAAACATACCTAGAACAGCCAGAAAGGCTGTCGGAACCCGTGGGCTCTTCCCCTCCATCTAGCATCAAAGAAACCTCGGAGTCTGAGATGGACACGGTGGGATATAGCAGCATCGACATCTTTACTGCCTGAAGAAGAGGATGAATTTCTTCTGAGATTCTCTGGGCGCAAGAAGCGGGCTATAATCCAGTACACGCCATCCCCTTCCAAGGCTGAGTCGGAGGAACTGGACATGGTGTGCAAATGCTCCAGGACAGGCTACAAGGAAAAGAACAGGCCTATGCCTCTGGACATAGAGGGGAGGAATGTAGTGATTGTAACGGGGTCAGCTAGGTGGACCTCATAGAATATGACTTCCCTGATTGAGGCTGTTAACCTAGTCCAATCAAGGAGCCCTGGCTGACAGATATCAATAGGACAGTCAGAGGTTCTGGTCACTGAGAGCTGACTCTGCTGAGACTGGACCAGTATCAGGTACTGAGCACATGGAAATAAAGGATAATTTGGTGACAGGCTATCGGCCTCTGTGAAGTTATTTCAGCTATGATGAGTCAGAGATTTCCAGAGTAAGAGTAAATACAAATAAATTGCAATGAAGTGACTAATATCCTTCTTAGGAGTCTTACTGAAAATGTGAAGAAAGCGTTACATAACCACTGGGAAAATCTAGGGCCCCAAGAAGGGAAACAATGTTATAGCTGGACGGTGTAATCTTATTTTCTCCTATTTTTAATTTGCAAAATGAAGGTTTAAGTAACCTACTTTGTGAGCCATGAGACCACTGAAGAATAAACAAATTCGTGGTGTGTTGAACTGCATTATAATGGACTTCTACAACATAAAATGTGATCCACAGAAGTAATGCAGTTGGAAACAGTGAAAATGTAAAAAAAATGAGTGCACCATTATGGGCAGTTATAAACTGATTTAGGTTATAATTTTTTTTTTTACGGAAAGCCATATGGAAGCACCACTCACAATGGCAGAAATGAGCATTGCAATAAAGGTTAACAGGAAAACTTGAAGTAGAAATTTTCAAAAATGCACCATTTTCTGTATTGGACTAAAGGGAACTATTTGTAATGTTCCTTAAAAAAAAAGTTAGCATTCCAATCATAAATAAACACAGAAATGAAACATGATGCATTTCAGCCAGAGAATACACTGTTTTAATCTCTAATTTTGGCAAACAAAACAAAATCATCAATATGATTTATGAAATATCAATCATCATATACTTTCTTAGTACACTTGCTAGGCACAGCAACATACAGCAAACTTTGTTTTAACTGGCAGCTTATCAACCGGCACTCTTGATAAATATATACCTCAAACATCGTGACCTCTAAGAATTAATGGCGCAAATAAAGTATGACAGTGCATTACGTTTCTATTACTTACTGTGTGTTTTTACATTGATTTTCAGAGGCGTGTTGATGTTTTTACAGAGACTTTTAGAGAGATGTTGATGTCTCGAAGCTTCGTTTGGTCAGGGTTTACTGCGGTTATGCATACCTCGTGATTATCCTGAATATTTGATCAACCCACTCACTCCTGGTCCCATAGATGCCAGTTAATACAAGGTTTGCTGCATTAGTGTCAGCATAGAGGAGGATTAAATGTTTGTCAGAGAGTGTCAAACTGTTGGTTATGAAAATTTACTACAATTCACAGCACTGCCCTTTATTAGCCAAACTGACTTGATTACAATCTATAAGTCTACCAACCTGAGTTACTCAATGGTGCTGTTGCTTGCTCGATGGGTGGCTTCTCAAAGGTTCTCTCGGTAGTTCCTTGCTCATGCCTTCCAACATCACCACCTTGGTTTTCATACTGATTGAAGGAGTTCTGATCTCCACCATAATTGGTTTCTCGAACATTGAGCACATCACCTGAAAGTGTACGAAAACAAACCAGAATGAAAAGATGTAGACAAGCAGCATTATTTGTACTATGTCGCATTTCATACTGACTCTTTTGATCATTTTCAGAACAACTGAGGTTAGTGGAATATCAATACTAGTCTCCTATACATTCACTTTAAAGTCACTGGGCTGAATTTTTGCAGATTTGAAAACACTTCACAGACCTTTAAAGATGGTGACCTAGATGTGGAAGTCCTGCTCCCTTTCTTTAAGACCCAATTTTGGCAAGCGAGAGAAGTGAACGGGGCGTCATTCACACAAGGTAAACCCAAACTCAGCAGGGTCCCTTGGAACTTAATGTGGTGTTCCAGCTGACCACATTTTGACTGTTCTAAGAGCCTTAAACCACAGCAAGAGTGTCGCAGCATAATAGTGTACACGCAAATGTTCTTGAAGGGTGGATAAGGTTTCATAAATATCAAAAATTGAATATTTCAACCCTATCATCTGCTTGACTGCTTTGATTGGCAGTTATCTGATATAGATTAGAAAAAAAGTTAATATCTGATCCTGCACTTTTAATAGTGTTCTTTGCTAACATTTTGCAAGGGATGCTCTTATGTATTTTATATACTCGACCGAGTCTCAAAAGGTACAATTAAGTTTGTTTTTCAAACTGATTGAACATTTGAAGAAGTTTAAATGCTTTGATTGGGAGTTTGTTCCCTCTACCAGTATCAAGGGTTTATCAACAAGTGCTGTGAAAGATTGTCAGGGGTTTTTTTTTTCCATCTCCATAAGACTGTTGAAGTCTACCCATGGTAGATAAGTGAGTGGCTACAGAGATTGCATTGAGGTATAAGGGGCCATGAGAGGACATCAAGGGCAGGAGAAGGTGAACCTAACAGCTTGTGAAACAAGTCCTCTAACTAGTCCACTCCAGCACTCAGTGGCTTCCCAGGTTGGCGGGCCTAATTCAATCCTGCCTCTGCCTCCCCAGAACAACTAGGACCCCTCTGGTCCCAATACGGGTTGGCTGAGTTGACAAATTTTGTGACTCAAATTAGCTGCCATAGTAGCAAAAATCCAGCCCCAGCAATTGGCATAGATCTTCCAATTTTAAGTGACAGCTCAAACGTAAATTTTGTACATTCACATTGCTGACTTAATCAGTTGCAAATTTACAAAAGAACCTGGCACAATACTGTAACAATTATCCCACTGCACTCAAGGACCACTGATTTTGACCAAACTCAAACTTCTGATCAAATGTTGATCACAGAAACAAATGCAGCACAAATTGCATGCAGGCTGCAACTATATTACTGATGATAAATATGGCCTATTTGAACTGGACTGAAACAAGAGAGATTCACACAGCTGCCAAAAACAATTATTAGCACTTCTAAGAACAAAGTGATTCTTTGGATTGCCCTGCAACAATTTATTATACCCTTCTATTTTGTATACCGTATGTAATACAGTGTATTATAAATCATCACCTGCATCATATAAAATTTGTAAATCAAGTTTCAGGATTGCATGATATCCCAAGCAGCTTTACAGCCAATTAGGTGTCATTAGTGTAAATGCAGCTGCTGTTATAATGCAAGAAATTCTGCAGTCAATTTACAGACAGCAAAGTTCCAGAAACTGCAGTGAAATGAATGAATAAACAATCCATATTCATGATTAAATCAAAATACTGCAGATGCTGGAAATAAAAACAGAATGTGGAGAAACTCAGGACAGAAAGAGAGTTCATGTTTTAAGTCCACTATAACTCTTCTTCAGAACCAACGAAACACCAAATCTGTTGTTCTCTCCACAGATGCTGCCAGATCTGCTGAGGTTCATCAGCACAATTTGTAGGAGTAATGTTGATGGATGTATAATCACTGGTTAGGACACTAGGGAGAATTTTTCTACTGGTCTTTGAGTGGGACCTACAGCATCAACATATGAGGTTTCATTGGAAAGATGCGACCTCTGACAGTGGACAACTCCCTCAGAACTGCACAAGTTAGTGTGGCACACAATAGAACAGAGGCTTAAAAATTTTTGGAATTGGCTCCGATTAAGGTTGCAAAACAAGGTACACTTATAACTTATGAGTCCTGTTGATTTAATTACAATATCAAATTAAGTCAACAGCATGCCTATGTGTAAAGGACAACAGGAGAATCCTTAACTGTACCTCACAGGAAAACATAAGAGTTAGGAGCTGGAGTTGACTAAACAGCCCTTCAAGCCTACTCCACGTGCAGGATGATCACAGATAATCTCTCCCATACACCTAGATTCCCCACATGACTGAAAACATCTATCTCTGCCTTAAATACACTCAATGGTGGAGCATCTACAACTTTGAGGTGGAAAAGAACCAAACAGCACTCCCTATTTTACACCTCTATCTCTCCTTTACCACCATTAGCTGTCCCAGACAATAAGGATTTTTGCTTCAAGTAGCTTTCCAGATGATGAATTCCAGATACTCACCACCCTGAAAATATTTTTTTTGAAAATATTTCTCTGCAACCTCCCTCTGACCAGCGTCTTTAATCCTGTATCATCAGGTTAGCAATGAGTCTGCAAAGGACAATCAGTCCTTCCATTTCATAAAACCCAATTAAATCTTACTATTTGTGCATACTGTACCAAAAAAACCCCAGCACATTTAACCTTCCCTCAAAGCTATAATTTTCTATTCCTGGCACAATCATCTATAAATTTCCTTTGTACCCACTCTAACACAATTAGATGCTTCTTGTAAAATGGTGAGCAGAACTGAATATAATCCTGTAGCTTTGGCAGAACTGGTATGTTATACAACTCTTACATAACAGCTCCACTCATATTCTATGCCTTGGCTAGTAAGAGAACGTTTCCTGTATGCCTTCTGAACCACTTTATCTACCTGTCTGGTTATCTTTAAGCAACTGTGGATATCAATTCAGAGGTCCCTTACATTCTTCTCTAACACCAACCATAAAGTTTATTTTTGCATCATCATCAGAATCTTAAACATAATGGCCATAAAGAGATTGTGCAACAGAAACCAACAGTCCTAGCACTGAGCTCTGCAAGACAGCAATCTTCCAGTCACACAAACTCACACTGAACATTACCCTTTGCTTTCTATGATCAAGCCAAATTTATGTCTAACTTGCCAATTTCCCCTGACAAAATCTTTACTAAAATCTCTGCTGGCTACACTACCTCATTGATCCTCATTATTTTCTGAAAAATTCCATCAAGTAAATCAGACATGACCTTCTCTTAACAAACACACACTGAGTGTCACTGACTAAACCGTGCTTCTCTGAACAAAAGTCAATACTGATTCTCAAGAATAGGTGGCCCAGCAGGGGCATAGATAGAGTGTATAGGAAGGACCTATTGCCCTTAGGTTGACTGATAATGCATTATATTACTATGGCTACTCTTTTCTCTCTTAAACAAGGGACGATGGAAAGCAATCAAACCAAATATAGAAACAGTTCCTGCACAGATATAAAAGGAATTTTTAAAAATAGTATAAATAATAGGGTAGCAGAGAGGCACAGGAGATGCTCATATATACAAAAACAAGCGTCAGTGAGGAAAGAAAAATAACAAGGAGTGAATGGGGGAGGGGATAAACACACACACACACATACACACACACTCTCTGCAGAGGCAGACATGTAATACAAATAGAAAATCGAAGCAAATTAGAGTGACCCTACCAACTTCACATTACTGGAAGTCAGATTTTCCTCCAGTCTGTCCCTCTCAATTTTATTCCTTTCCAAATGCCTGCTCATCTGAAAAGACGAAGCGTGAAATATATACCAAAATAAGAGTAATCAAGGAGAGGGAAAAGCACAAGGACAGCAAAAAAGTATAAGCTAGAAACAAATGTGTAATTAAGATAGAAAGTTCAGATAAACCATAGTGAATCTTCCACCATCACATTCCTGGCACCAGCCTCAACATTAACAGTTACTGAAGCAATAATAATCAGATTTGCACTAATCAGGTGCAATACAGAAAGGTTTTGAGGTTCTCCTTAACTATAAAGCCTGCTTAACATTTAGTATTAAATTTCAACTGACTCACTGAATTGTAACACCCTTCTGCAAGCCAGAAGGTCAGGGTTCAACCTCCATGCAAAATGTCAGCACATAATCAAGGATCACATTCTAGTTCAGTATTGAAGAAGTGTTGCACTGTCAGAGATGTGATCCTTCAGATAAAATATTAAACTGAGACTTTGTTTGCCCATTTAAATGGACTTAAAAATCCACAGCACTAAGCAGTCCTCAAGCGTCAGCATATCCAGACGTCTGTGGGTCCTGGTACATTGACTGCTGCACTACTGGGTGTTTCTGTCTTTTATTTGAAATGTCAAATCTATATTTACCTGTGAAAAATGATACTATTCAGAGGAGATTGGTCATTATTCTCATGTTAATGATAAATCTTCAACTAATAGCAATAATACACCACGATTGTTGGATTTTGTGGCTTACCAACTCGACAAGTGACTACGCATCACAAATAGTTTATCAGCCATACAGTTACTTATAGGAAGCAGTATCAAGTTACAATCACGTTCTCTTAAGCATGAAATACTCAGGACCAGCTGGTCCTGCAATCCAACCTATATTCACTTTAGCCTATGAAAGGAAGGCAAGTGTAAGGCAGCAAATATCCAGGCCAGAACAAGACACTGCAAAAGAAATGAATGAGGGCTCATACCTATTTTAGCAACAATAGTGAGTACAAGGGACCCATATTTTCATGGAGTTCAGAGACTTTTAAAATAGCAGGAAGAACCCAGATGCCGAGCTGAGAAACTTCCCTAATGGAAATGTTTTAGTAGTGAAAATTCTGACCAAAACATCCCTTAAGTGCATCTATTAAGCTGCTCAGAACAAAAGTAGTGGAGTTATGTGAACAAGATGCTGATCCACAGATACTGCATAAATCTGCAAGGCAGGAGAACAGAACTAAAATGGGAAAGTCACCCTCTGAACATGCCT